CTCCCCTTCTTCACTCATACGCTACATCTGTTAAACTCCCTTTATTTCTATGGCACATGGACAATAAAATGCTTGAAATGGCCCAGCTTTATGCATGTTAAAAATTCCAGGCACCCAACCGTAGTACTTTGCAGGTAATTTAGCTCCACCAGATATTGTGGACTAGCTCCTCAGCGGTGCCAGAGTTCTGCTCGTGGCATGTGGAGATGGAGGAAAGGTCTGAGCTGTTTTGAAAATCTAACCATAGGTGTCGCGGTGGCAGCGGCTGGATGCAGAGCAGCTTTGAAAATCTGCCCTCTTATTTAGGTGCCTTAGGAGATGTTACACTTTTATTTTTGAAATTTGGCTAATTGTACATGGTAAACACTTGGAAATGTAGCTCTGAGCTGAAAAAAATCTGGCCTTCTGGGTCTATTTCTTTCACAAGTGTAGCACTGTTCACTGCAGTGGAATTTAAGCAGCATCAGTGAGAGAAGACTATCTCTCTTTAATGTAACATCTATTTGAATGTAATAACATTACTGAATATCACTTAGTCTACAATGGTTAGTTACATTCATTCAAGATTAAGGGCTTGATTCTATTCTTACTTACACCAGCATAGATCAGGATTAACTCTACTGAAGTCCAGTGGAGTTTCCACTAGTATACAGCTGGTCAAAGTCAGAGGAGAATCAGGCCCCAGATCTGTATGAATAAGCATAGGTCAATATGAGACTTGAAGGAAATAATCAGGTTCACACGTAATCGTCTAGTCCATGCAAGTGACAGTTGCTGCTTAACATCCCATCAGCTCCTGTTTTCTTCAGCCAGCATATCAGGGAGAGGGAAACCTGGAGACCACGTACTACTTCAAGCAGTTCTGGCACGGAGGGGAGTCTGTATTTTGTGGAGTTCTGTAACTTACTGCTTGCATGGTTGGGAATCCATTCTGTCTGTGAGGCTGACTGCTCATGGCATGCCTTAGTTCAGGGGTTCTCAGACTTTTGTACTGGTGACCCCTTTCACACAATAAGCCTCTGAGTGTGACCCCCCCTTATACATTGAAAACACTTTTTATATACAGTATTTAACACCGTTATAAATGCTGGAGGCAAAGCGGAGTTTGGGGTAGAGGCGGACAACTTATGACCCCCCATGTAATAACCTCGTGACCCCCTGAGGGGTCCTGACCCCCCAGTTTGAGAACCCCTGCCTTAGTTAGAAAAGGGCGTATGAAGGGGAGAGAAGATCAGGAATTAGTGCAGACGGTAAACTGTGCAGTACATCAGAATAACAGGACTCCTAGCCCTCCTCTTTTGCATTGCCGTTTCAAAGGTTGAAATTCCTCATAGACTTTGCCAATATTTTAATAATTTAATTTTCCTTAATAGACAAAAGTGGATCTTTGGATTTTTGATTCTTTGGCTGTACTGTAATGCAGTTTACTTGCACATACAGGTTGTAGGATACTGGTAATCTTTGGGGGATATATCATAAAGGGATAGGTGGAGAATGACATGTGAGTAACAGGTAGACAAATGGATCAGCCCCACTTTTCTGTATGCAATACCTTCCCATTTGTACCAACAAGGTGAGACTCAGGGCAGTGCAGGGCCAGCTGCAAAGCACACAAGTAGCCCAAAAGGCACAAGCAAAAAATCAGTTTCGAGCTACAATAGAGGCAGAAAGATCAGACTAGAAAGGTAACTCAATAGAGAAATGCAGAAGATAGGTGCTTGATAGCATAGAATATATAAAAAGAAACCACACATCAGTGCTTAGGGCATTACCGTACAGTGCTCATCTGAATTTTTGCCTGGGATGGATGGCTAATGTGTAAGTGTACATCCATGTTGCCTAAAACTTGCCTCCTTTTGGCTTCGCCATGTGCCCTTTCACTTTGCACAGCTCCTCGCACGCTTTCAGGATATAGCTGAACTTCAATGCCTTTTGCACCACCACTAGAATTTCCACTAGATATGTTAGTAGTGCAAATGGTCTTTGTATGCTTGATCCCCTCCTATAACTATCTTTTTACGTTACCACAGAATAGAGCCTAATGCATTTTCCCAGGTCTGCATTTGGTTTTTGTATATGGTGACCAGATAACCCATTGGTCCTCGACTGTCCTGATTTTGTGAGGGGTAACTTGGGTGACCATACTGAACCACATCTTTTTATCCTGGTTTCCATATAATCTGCTAGTCTCCAACCTAGCACCTGCACCTCATTTTTGCTTGAAGCAATCCCATGACCTCCTCCCAAGTTCCCCCACAGGGGCTAGGCAGCAAGATGACGTTAGGATATGTACTCTTTGGTACCATGTCTCTCAATCCCTATTTCTTGTAATATAGCCTGAAATTTGTAGAGACACAGAGACTGGTACAATCTCCCTTAGAGAATTTGGTAAATGAATTAACATTTTTTAATTCCCATTACAAAAACAATCATTCCTGGGTTCTGCCACCCCAGAGCTGGACTCTCCAGTCCTGCCTGGCTTCCCTTTCCTGAGGGAAGGTTGGCTGGGGTGACCCCACCTGGACTGGGCCATGAAGGTGAAACTGTGTTGTGCCCACAGAGAAGGCTGATTTCTACAATAAGAGACTGTATTGGGGAGGAAGGAGACGACAGACATTTCCTTAGGCCTTTGGCTTTTTCGGCACCAGCTGCAGCTTCTGCAGTGCCTTGGAGTAAAATCCCCTAAAAGGCAAATGCAGTAACATGACTGGGAATGAGGCAGGCAGATTGTTCAGATTAATTTTTAGACGTTGGAAGTAAAATAGTAGAATTTCTCTCAGAAAAGGCTCTGCCACAGAGAGGTCTGATTGAGCTTGGCTTCTATTGTGGAGCCCTATTAGCGCTGTTGGGAACTTCAGAGGTGGGACGTTTCCCGTGCTGCCATTGATGACCAGTCTGCTTCTGCCCCCAAAGCTGCGAGTGATCCGAAGTACCATTATAATGGCTCTGTGGGCCATCGCACGATGGAGAACACTGTTGTGTGTTACAACAAGCCGGGCAGAGGCTTGCCGTCCCAGAATTCTCTAGTGTAGAGGTGGCTGAAGTGCTTTGGCATGGGAGGCGTCTGCCTCCACTTTTAAAAAATGTAAAAAGTGAATTTAAAACACTTGAAAATGCTGGAGAATGAAGTCCTTTGTTCATCCACAGAAAAAGTAGCAACAGTATATAAGCTTCTTCAATGGGCTCCATCAGTGTACCTCAAACCTTCTCCGGAATGATCTGGAATGCGTGGCTGGCTATTCAGTTCTTAGCCTCTCCGCCAAGGTCCCCAGCAAGAGTGCTGGTTGCAAAGATGTTTTTTTGATGTGGAACAGGATTGAGCCCATGACCTCATTTCTCGTAGGTAATTAGATGGTAATGGCTTTCAGTCACTACTAACCCAGAATGGATATGAAACTGTGATTCAGAGCGGAAAGGCTCCATATTCCATTACCAATACTGTGACACGATCATGGACTGACACAGTATCAAGTTATAAAAACAGGATACTGAACCTGTTAAGGTAGGAATGCATACAAGGCTTACCAGGTTCTGTGTTTATTGCCACCCATTCCAGTTGTTCAGTGACTTTGTAATTCAATATTAACTGTTAGATCAGGAACACATCCATAGGATGCCATTAAATGCCAGGAAATGTTAATAATAAAAAGGTAACATGTTCTCATTGATCAAGATTGCATTACTAACTCTAAATCAAGGACACTGCATTAACTGTTTGTGTGCAATCCAGATGTATGTCTAGGCAAGAACACTATTATACATCTTTTATGGAAAATCTGGTGTGTGCTACCGTTTGTGCCTGATGATAATGCAGTCAGAGTAGAATATGCTTTCTAAATTGAGCTGTTCTGCTTTGCCAGGTATTTTTGCATGGCAAGTCATCCTGAACCTATGCCATTTTCTTCTGTGTTTTATACTATTTAAATTTGCATTTCATAATATCAACTCAGTTTAATTTTGCATGCTTGTGTGAAATCGGACACTTGCTTTGGGTACTGTTGGCTTTAGAGTAATTAATTGTTTTTAAATGAACATCCCCCCCCCCTTTTAAATAGCAGTGTTACTGTGGCGGCAGAAGATTAAGTTAAGGGGAGTGTTATTAGGTACAGTAAATGAGTTGGGGTTTTTTGTGGTAGGTCTCTCTTAAAAACATGGTTTATATTCTGTACATATAAAAAACCATGGAAATTTCACTTAATTCTTGCAACTTATTCTGTTATTCCTTGTACAAAAAGGCACACACATTATGAATAACATAATTATGGGCTTCTTTCTTTTTTGTAGACTTAACACAGAAAAGAAAAAACACCTATTAAAGCAGGGAAGGGAAGCCAGAGTTACCTTCTGGACTTCACACTGCCTTTGGACATAGCTACTTTCAAACTGAAGGCAAACAGCTTTGTAGAAATTGGGTTATTTAAACAAAATGTGTGTGCCAAAATAAGGTCTTACACCAGTAACATAGCAACTGTAGGCACAAACTCACTTTTGGCCAGAAAAATGGCAAGAAAATAAACCATTAACATGCAAAGGGACTTGTTCATTCCCAGTCTAATAATGCTGGTTATCCACAAGAAAGGGAAAAAACTGTGTGATGTTACTTGACTTATTCCAGCCTAAAAATCACAATGATTACTGCCACTCATATAATAAAAATAAAGGAAAAATGAAACAGTAGTATTTACAGTTACTTAAATTCCATAATATTTAAGTAATGTGTTAACCATAAAAATGAATAAATGATGGTTACAGATTATTTTATTATTTAAGTGAATTCAGTCAAACTGTTTCACCCTCT